GAGAACATAACAGGGTTGAAAACCAAAAAAAGAGACTTATACACTGAAGGCTTTTGACTTGGTTTTGCAAGAACCTCAGAATAGTATTGAGCACTTCATGAAATGAGGAAACTGAGAGACTTTGGGGCATTAGATGGATATAAGTAAATCCAAAAGTTTTGTCTTTAAAATAAAAAAAATATTAGCACACTAGACCAAGAGATTCTGATGAAAAATATGGCGTAAATTGAGAAGGTTAAATATCTGGGAGGTTACATTGACCAATGTGAATTGTATGCAGTTTCGAATAACTATGTTAAGGTATGGAATGATATTTTAAAAAAAACGTACTGAGGTAGGACAAACAACAATTGTCACTGTTGGGTAGAATTTGACTGTTTAAGATGAATATTTCACTTAGAATGTTATTTCTATTTCAGACAATATTGGTATTGATGACTGATGTACCACTTAACAATGGCAAAAAAAATAAAATCAAATCTTTTGGATTGGATTATTAGAATTGTTTATGATTATAGAAGTATTGTGCATTATAGTTAATCTTATAATAAAAGATTGTTGTATTTATACTTGTAAAAAAAAAAGAATATATCTACTACCTTGCTGGTAAGTAGAGTAGGATTGTTAACCCAGCATTTTTCCCCCACTGATTAGCAAGATGACCCTGGGATGCCTGCAGAAAGACACTGCACTCTCTGGTAATCATAAGGCCTCTAAACAAAAAAGTCTCATTAAGGCACCTTTTCACTTGTGAATGAACTGTTAGTGAAGTGAATCTCAATAGCTTACCATGGGAATCTTGAGCGCATTCACATAAAAAGAATGTATTTCCCAGTAGCAGCAAATGTTGTAAATGAATTTAATCAGCCGGTGAATCCAAAAGACCCCTGCAATCACTAGGATGGAGAGAAGAAATCCATTGGCCTGGATTCTAGGAGTCAGAGAGGGAAAGAGAGATATGGAGTCAAGCCAGATGTGAAAGAATAGCTCCTGCCTTTATGCTTTAGAAATATGAATAAACTCTTTCTTCTTCCATTACCAGAATTCAGGCAACTCTAACAAATTTTGGAGAATGTGTAATGTTAAGATATCAATTACCAAAACAACTGGGCTGGCAAGACTAATGGGAAAAATATCAAGGACATCATCACATAAACAAAACAAAGCTCTATTAATCATATGACATCACCTACTCATTCCCAGTCAAACCGGTCCTTGATGATTCAAAACATAAATCAAAATATAAATAAAACTATAATTTATAATTATAAAATATTTTAAAAAATGAATGTACATCCAGATAAACAATACTGCATACATTCAAGTTTAAAAAGATGAACGTGGTCTTTTCAAAGTGGATTTTCTCCCCCTCTGCAGGTGGCTAGTCCATTTACTTGGAACAGAAGACCAAAGATGAGCTAGCTAACTTTATTACAACTGTTGCAAGTAAATAATACATTACAGATTATTATAGATCAAATTAGCCAGTATACATGTAATATTCCATTTCCCAAGTCAAACTGAAAACATTTCTAACCAGAAGCTAAATTTTTCAGCATACATTACTGATGGAGTGTTACCTATTATGAAGCTCAGGAACTTGTTTATCTAGGAGATCTTGTGTTAAGTCTCACAAAGATGAACAAAGGATGTGGCTGTATTTAGTCACTGCTATTTTTACCTGGCACTGCACTCATTGGGAGGCAGGAAAGCATCTGGCAGAGTCACCTTGACTGGGTCACTGGAATGCTGACTGTGATTCACCAGTTTGTTGGCAAAGAGAATATCATAGTCAACACAGCTGACAAGGAATGTAGTAAAGGCCACAACAAAGATGAACTGCCTGTAAGAACAAAGAGAAAAAATTGGGTGCATTTTACTCCCTTCCCCTTTAAAGGACCTGAGCTGACAGAAAGTATCAGGTTTCCAGTGATCAATTTTCAAACTGAGTCAGAACATCAAGATAGGATTTCTTTCAACTGAAATAATTGAAATTGAGCATTGAGAAGCATCACCAACCTAGGTGAGAGATTATTTATTACATTTTTCACTTTCCGTCTGACAAGAAGGCTTAACATAGGAATATAAAAATGAATTCTACAAATCCTGGGAACAAAAAATTATACTCACATTAACTCAAAGATCTCACTGATAAGCATGCATGTGAAGCCATTCTTCTGGTGCAGGTTATAGACGTGAAGATTATAGTCAAGGAGAATTGCCAAACTTTTTAGAATCTACCCCCCTGTTTCAATTGTGACTTACAAATAGCATTTTCTCTTTCATTTTAAACTGCCTTGCTATAATACTAAGTAGTTAACACTTGAGGTAAGGAGTCAGTAACTTTCTTCATAAAGAATTTCCTTTGGAAGTGCAAGTAGTTCTCTCTTAGGAAGTTATGGCAGACACCCATCCATCCTTTCCCAAAGTTACTTATGATCTGTTTTCAAAGTTATGACTGCTATATATTACCACGGTAATGTGATTGCATTTTGGCCACTTGGTAGTGACCCTCAATCACATGGCATTGAAAATTATTTTGCTAGTTTCAGGCATTGATTGCTGGTTTCTAGTAAAATATAGTTCATTTAATAATCGCAGTGACTTTTTATGACTACTCTATAAAAAGGTTGCAAAATCAAGTCAGGTCACCTGGTGACCCACTTAACAACTACAAAGACAGACAATCAAAATTCCAGGATCAATTGTGGTTATTAAATGAAGACTATCTGTATGTACAGTTAACATTCTTGTATCTTTGTTATCTTATCTGTGAGGAATATATCAAGGATGCAAGGATCATTTCTAAATGAAATATACAGAATACATATGTATATATGTATTTATATGTTAAGTGTAATTGAAACTGAAACACACTCAAGTTTTATTCACTTATTTACAATAGTACCCTGTTGAACACAACTAATCTATTAATTATTTCCTAATTTATGTCACTATGGTTTATTATTGTGATACTTTCTTAATCGTGAAGTTAAAAGGCTTCTTGTAAAGTGATTTCCAATTTGGTGTAATTGGAATTTGACTTGGGTTTCAATCATTTTGTCCCTGCAAACAGGTAAGGATATTCGAGAGAAAAAAAGATCCAGATTTTCAATGTGATGCCAGGGAGCTACAAGACAGAGACAAAATTTCAAAAATATTCATTCCAACATTCACCATAGAAGATTTTACAGGAGAAGGAGAAAGTCTGCCAAAAGAGAACCTCATCGCACAAAGAGCTGCAAATACTAGTTTCACTTTAAACAATCTTATCCAAAGGGATTGAGGCATTTGTGTTCCCATTTGTTTTGGATTCTGAGATGAAACATTCCATTTCGAGGAGAAACGGACTGTAAGAATAGCATCTGAAATATCTAAAACCAATTATGGAAACATCCCTCCACTAAATTTAATGAAAATTAGGATCACATTGTATAAGAAATGCAGCTCCTCCACCAACATGGGGCACAATCTCCAATTTTCTTTTTCAACATGTATACCACTAGAGCAAGGGTGTCAAACTCAATCACGTCATGTGACGTATCAAGACTTATCACAACTTTTCTTGCTTCTGCAAAACAGCCAAAGTGGGCGAGGCCTGTGTGTGACACATCCAGCCTGCGGGCAGCCAGTTTGACAGGCCTGCACTAGAGTTTTTGACACTGAAGTTAGCAGTCCATCTATACTTACATTTGCTGCCCTCAGGGACATGGACCATCAGATTTTCTTCTCCAGGGGGAGAGTCATTATATGAGGCCTCCAATCGCTGATACTCAGTATCAAAATGAGCCATGTTGTCATCTAAATTCTTATAAACTCTGACATAAAGGGCAGTGAAGGACAGAGAGAGGAGGGATCAGCAATTTGATGTAATTATGAGCCATCAGTCAAATAGGCAGTTCATAACTTCTTCTTTTAAGTTATACTTATGTATAGAATACCAAACAGAATAAAAGAAGAGGAAACTATTAAGAAACTATAGCAACAAGTAGAAAATTATGGATGTTACTAGTTTTTCTTTATGCCCCCTCTTTTTCCTGAAGTCTGAGTGGCTCACCTCTCTGATCACTACTTGAGGAGAAAACAACAAGAAAAAAGACTCCATTTCATTAAAAATTCTGTTCATTGTCCAGCCCTTCAACTTTCATTGCCTCCATGTTTACGAGCTGCAGTCTGTTACAAGATACATTCCTAAAACAAAATAACATATTACATAAGCATAGATTTGACACAAATAGTTATGCTGTATCAAGCTCTCCCTAAATGCAAATGAAACTACATTTTCATAATGTATGCTAATCCCGTTGGCCTTCATAAGATTGTTTTTCTAGTTTTATTTTCAGTTTCTTATTACAGCATTAAAATTCACATACGTGAAAAATACATGCTATTTAAAAGTAAATCTTGAGTAATGCAACAAACGTATGGCATAAAATGCTATCAAGCAACCCTTTCATTTAAAAACAAAGCAAAATATTACATAAGAAGTAGGAAAACACAACAGACAAATGACTGTCTCAAAAAACTAATTCTGCCACAAATGCTAAATTCTGGACTGTGAAGTCAACTCAAATTCACCGAGTGCACCAAGGAGAGGATTAATCTATAGTTAGCACTGCTAGTAAGCTACATGCTATTAAAATTGATCTGTTCAACATGCACAAATTAATATAGAATTGAAGCTTCATGCTAGATCAGATGAAAGCTTATTGATCCTAGCCTTGTGGGTTCAATAGACACAATATTCAGATAGACCTTCTAGGGAGACCTAGGGAAAAACTAGGATTCAGACCATAAGGTTTCTGATATTAGAAAGCCAAGATTATTTGTGGCCATTAGTAGACTTCTTCATGAATTTTTAATGCTGTCTGCTTTGGACAATCACTACATTCCAGGACAAAGAATCTTAACAGCTTCATAGTTTGCCATATCATGCATAATTTTATACACTAAATGACATAATTTCTTACATATCCATCCTTTCTTTGGGACAGTCAGTATTACTGTTGCTTTCTTGCAATGTCCTTTGAGAACCCATATACTGGATTTCAAGTATCAGCACAACAATTTATATTAATTCATTATTCTACAGTACTGTATTAGCAACTTTAAATCAAGCATGGGATTTTTCTTTTTCACAACTGCCACAAATTGAGTCAATGTTCTTTACCGAGCTACACACCCCAAATTCCATGAAGAACCCATTGGTGTATATATATATACACACACACACACACACACATATATATATATATATATATATATACACACACACACACACACAAATATAACAAA